GACGGCGCTCGGGCAGTCCGAGCCGAGGCTGATAGCCAGCCATACATCACTTCGCGTTCGGTCTCTTAATTATGATATTTCTTGGAAATATCACACTTTCATTTCTAAAGATTTCACTTTCTCGCCGCAATGGCGTTGCAAGCGAGAAAAGGAAGCATGCCACGCTGCGTTGTGACAACTTAATCTATAAGTCGGCGTCGCGAGGAGTCGCTGCGTTTGACTCCCCTTGTTATCTTGTGCCACCTAGAGTGCCTCAATGTCCTTCTGTTTAGGGTGATGCCATCGTTTGTAGTACCCGATGCCGACAGCACGTGTTCACAGGAAAAATACAAAGAAATCGCAGGAAACAAAATGTCGCTGTAGCACAGTCAGCGCCACGAGCGCGTGCATGGACACGCTCTTTCACGTGCTTGAGAACAAAAAATAAAAATAAGCGTTCGAAACAAAATGGCCAGATGTCATCACCCCAAGCAAAGCGCACATGAAGGCACCCTAGTGCCACCCATACACGGGGATTGCCTTTTCTAAAACTGTCCACTAACCCTCTTTGATATTTTATTTATATTCACGTAATCCTGTTACGATCGTTAGGGCATTATAGCAGTGTTGATGACATGGTTAATTAGACACAGTGATAAAAGAATAAAACTTCCAACATATTCCTAAACGTGAGGAAACTCAACTTTTAGAAACCGGCCCGGGTTTTTCTTTAGGGGCGACTATGATCGTTATAGAGCAGTAGTTATTAGTTGTTAGTCTTTATCTACTGTACCTTGAATTAATTTAAAAATCTCAATAATTACTTCTTTTTTTTTCAGTTAACTATTGTTATGTATCCCAGGCAAGGACTCAAGCTCGGCGTAGACAAGCGTCCGGGCGTTACTTTAATGGCGCCTAGAATGCCCGTCTCGAGGCCCAGAAACCCGTGCACCAGTCCCGTGCTCTTGAAAGCGCGGGAGTCCGCTCACGCCCTGTCCTGGCCACCGGCCGGTACATTACACTTCCCCCTCACTTAGTTGCGACTCCTAATCTTTCCGGTGGTTTTCGCACACGGTTGCTGGTGCGTTGGTGTGTTTCACTACGCGCGGGCTCCGGCCTCGGAGGCGTACGTGATGTCTCTGGCTTTGGAGGTGCGGATGACGGCTCGTCGGGCTCCAGGATCAAGTCCCACACTGGAGCGGGTGTACTGCTGTTTCTGTACTGCGAGGTGCAATTCCTTGGACGAATATGATCCATGTGCCGTCTTTCCTGGCCCTCCTCGGTGTCGATCATCCACGACCGGGGACCTAGACGGCGTGTAATAACGCCAGCTGTCCAAGTCCTTCCGCTTGGGAAGTTCCTGATCCACACGGCCTGACCAACCGAAAAGTCCTGCGAGTGTGTAGAATCTGAGGTTATCAACGTGGTTGGAGGGTCATAAGTAGGCCGCTGCAGCAGTCTCTGTAGCGGTGATGGCAACTCTTGACCAAGAAACATCCACGCCGGCGTCTTGCCCGTTGCAGTGTGTACCGTGGTATGCTGCTTGCATAAAAACCGTGCCAGTGTACGTTTCACCGCGTCTTTTTCTCCCGTCGCCAGAGCCTTCTTTAATTGCTGTACCATTCTTTCGGCTTGGCCGTTCGTTGCCGGGTGATAAGGTGCGCTTGTTACCGCTGTGATTCCATTGGAGTGGTAAAAGCTTTTTATCTCTTGCGATATAAAAGCGGTTCCGTTATCCGACATTACTTTACGTGGTATGCCGAACGTTGCAAAAATGTTCCGTAATTCACAAATTACAGTTGATGACGTCATGTTTCGAACTGCACGAACCTCTAACCATTTAGAGTATGCATCTACCACGACAAGATAGACTTGTCCATCTACAGGCCCTGCAAAATCCAAATGGATGGTGTCCCAAGGTACTGTAGGTCTGTCCCAGGTGGGACTGGTGGCTTTTGGTGGTGCTTTCTGGTGTAGCTGGCACTTCTCACATTGAGCTACACATAATTCGATCTCTTTGTCTATACCGAGCCACCACACGTAGCTTCGGGCGTAGGCCTTCATGGCTACGATGCCTCGGTGTCCTGCATGTAGAAGTCTCATAGCCTCGGGTCTCATTGACGCTGGGATTACCACGCGCGCACCCCAGGTGAGACAACCACGATGGATGGACAACTCAGTTGCCTTGAGCTTGAAGGCGTTGAACCGATCGCCCACCAGTCTCTTTACCTCGCCATTCTTGACTGCTCTAAAGACCTCAGCCAGAGTGGAATCAATTGCCGTTTCGTCTTCCAGTTCTTTTGCAGTCATGTGAGGCTTCGTCACTGCCTCCAACATCAGGACATCGCTGGGGGGATCCTGTTCGTCCTGCGTTTCCGGCACCGGTAGTCGGCTCAGAGCGTCAGCATTTTGATTGCGTTTTCCCGCTCTGTAGATTAGGTCATAGTTATAGGCCGCGAGCTTGATACACCAGCGTGTCATGCGTGGCGAAAGCACATTCGGTACTGGTGATTTCGGGCCCATGATGCCCAACAATGATTGATGGTCCGTCGTTATTTTCACGGGACGTCCCGCGACATAGCGATGAAAACGGTCCATTGCGAAAATGTTAGCCAGCCCTTCACGGTCCAATTGCGAGTAGTTTTTTTCAGCCTTGCCGAGCGTTCTTGATGCGAACACGATCGGAGCCTCATTTCCGTCTGCATCTAACTGTGCTAATACTGCGCCGACGCCGTAGGGGAAGCGTCACATGACACGATCAAGGTTTTGTTCTCGTCGTAGTGCGCGAGGACCGTACGTTTTGCGATGGCCTGTTTCAGCTGCAGAAAGGCTCGTCGATGATTTTCTTTCCATTCCCAAGGTCTGTCTTTCTCTAGCAGTGCGTAGAGATCTTTTGCTATTGTTGCCCGATTTGCCAAAAATCGGTCGTAAAAAGCTAGAAGTCCGAGAAACGACTGTAGCGTTGTTCGACAGGTCGGCTCTGGCATCTCGTGGATAGCTTTGAGTTTTTCCTCAGTCGGGTGTATCCCGGCAGCATCGATGGTGTGTCCGAGGTGTTGTACTTGTTCCACTGCGAAGCGGCACTTAGATCTTTTTAGCCGTAGACCACATATATATTTTTAGTCGTAGACCATATACAATACGCAACGTCCAAGCTAAATCTGCAGAAAAAATATTACCCAAATAGAGAAGCTTGCACACACCTTTCTAACGCGCAGCCGTCTCTTCTTATACACAAGTTCGAAATCTGTTCTTATATTTACCTAGAAAATCTCACGTGCTCACCTTTTTTGTGTTCGTTCCATTTGACATTCTGTCCATAATTCCTTCACGCAATTTAAGGCAAGCTACAAAGCGTTTAGTCTATTTTTATTACTTATTTCTTTGTAAATTATACAATAATCAGGAACTGAATAATATATAAAAATGTATGTGCTTTTTTTTCAACTAGGCTTAATATTATTTTGAAAAATTAAGGGTTCCAATGCTTACCCTTGGTCGCATTGTAAAAATGTATGCAATATATCTCTAAATATTCAGAAAGTATCGTCAAAAGTAAATGAACAGTCTTGTCAAAATAAGATAGAGGAGGACTAATCGCTAGAAATGTATACTTTAGGTGAGTTAGAACTACGGTTCTTTCTCAAAATATAGGAGTTTAGGAAGACAAAGATTTTGTAAACCTACTGAGAGTATTTTATTCAAAGTAAAGGTAGCGATTCACCGATTAAAATAGAAAATAAACCCATACTATCAATTAAATATAGCTGAAGTCAGAGCATAGAACACGTGACACAGTGTCCCAGGGGGGTACTTTTGCCTGCTGAACAGGATACCAGGTTATCGCTCTAAGCCCCTCTACGTCGTTGGTAGACCCCTTTGCATCTATCACTGAAGTCTATCCACTTTTAATCAGAGCCAATCAGCGCTCGCCGTCGTTTTGACGTCACCGCAATTCCTGCGCAGAAAGCAGGCGACTTGCTCTCCGCATAGGACTGTGAAATAAAAAAAATTCTGTAAACAAAGCGAGATTCTAATTTTAATTGTTCATTTAAAACAGGGGTGACAAATCAGTTTCGTATTTCACAAACTTACGAAAGAATATGGCTCCCGACGTAGGGGTGAAATACAGGTTTCTAAAACCGATAACTAGTGTGTTACTTAATTGCCGTGAATGTAGAGAGGACAGTTTTACATGACGTAGTATTTTTAGTTGAGAAATGCAAGCCTTACCATGAAAGGGCTTTCTTGTCCGCCGCATAATATATATGTTTTCTCCGGGGTGGCTTTTCACTTACATGAATCAAAACACTCTCACGCGGAGCCTCAATTGTTGTTTTTCATACTTTTTTCGCATATGCCGCCGTTTGTAGCAGGTCCCATATCCTCGAATTAAGAATATAGGAAGCATTCCAAGACTAGTGGAATTTAAGAAAGAGCCACGACAGAAATCCATTACAAATTGTTTCACAGATATATTTCAAATACGATCTAAAGCTGTTTTTACAAAAACAAATGTAAAATTCCAACAAAAATTTTGAATTTTACCGGGAAGAGAAGCAAAATTATCATTTTCGTGTTAATTTCAAAAACACAAAACAGCCGAAACAACACATTTATGGCAAAATACTCGCCAATCAATTAAAGTTTTTTCATCAATATTCTTAAAATGTACACCGGATGTCGCATGCTGAGAGTCAGACTTTCATTAAATCGGAATTGCAGATTACGCCTACCACAAGCCTGCCGACTGAAAACATAACATGCAAAAGCACCTGTTTTTTTTTTGTTTTTTTTTTTTGTTATAATAGTGTCATGGCGCTTATAAAGAAAAAAAAGAAGGTATGCCGTGATGCTCTTTCTCGGGATCAATCACCTTCGCCATCCTGCTTTCAGGCAGGAGGAAAGAGGAGGTTTCGAAACGAGTTTAAAAACGGCAAACTAACGGTTAAATTTTTAGGAACAATTGGGAGTACGCCAGTTTTTATCGGTCGTAAAGTCGTGTCATTCACGTGTTGCAGAGCATGGAGACCTCGCAGAGACATGGCACCGAAGAATTAAACTGTTCCGCCAAGAAGCATCGACTGCGACGGCGGCAGTCACCGGCCGGTGGGGTGGACACTTGCTGGCATATTGCTGCCGTCGCCTTTCTTGCCCAGATGCTACTTGCGATATCCGACCGCAATTCCGGGTTCCTGTACGTCGGTTACATGGACATGTTCTCCATCGAGAGGAAGCAGGCCATCTGGCCGCAAACCATTGCATTTATGGTGGGCTGCCCCGCAGGTGAGGCCTTAACAGCAGTCATGTCGGTTTCACCCATATTCCAATTTTGAACTATGTGAACCTTTTATTTTTAATAATTTTGTTTTTAAATGTTTTCCCGTGTTTGTTTTATTTATTGCTTGCAGTGCAGCTCATTCCGATTTATTTTTCAAATCAACGTTTTTCGAAGTGCCCAGAACGCCAGAACGCACAGCCAATGTTTCTCAGACTTCATATCGTCGTAGACTGTATCCAAAATGTTGTTATTATAAGATTCCGCTTGAACTACAGACGGAACCTATAATAAACTGCAAATACGACGGGGAAACAATACTGTATATATATATATGCAACGGGCATGGTGGCGAGGGGCGGAAGGCGTGGGTATAGAAGAAAAGAACCCTTAGTGAAAACAGCAACAACGGACGATTTAATCTTCGACGTTTCGGCCGGAGTCCGGCCGAAACGTCGAAGATTAAATCGTCCGTTGTTGCTGCTTTCACTAAGGGTTCTTTTCTTCATATATACAGGGTGTTTTTTTTTATTCTTACACATTTGTTTAAAAAAAAACGTGAAAGCTACAATAATGCGGTTTGTGCAGGCGGGTTCTACGGCCAGGCGGACATTATGTGGGTGGCTAATCTTTGCGATAAGTCGGCTAATTACTTAAAATTCGTTAATTAGCTTTTTAATTACTGAAAATAAATACATGGTTTCAATTAGAAAATTGCTGAGCATCATCGAAAACCCCTAAATCAACTATTTTTAGCAGGATATAACGCCAAGGCGGCATTTTACGGCGTTCTGTAAAAACGCTCAATTTGGACGCATTTCTAGATTTCGGTTTCTTATCGGAGCGGATCTACGCGCCCGCTATCCTGCTCCCCGGTGGTCGTGAAGCCGAAGCCACCTCCTCGCCTCCCTCGTAGAATGGAGGGAACCACGGCGCACGTGTGTTGCGCGTCTCAGCCACTGGGGAGCAGGACCGTGGGCGCGGTGATGCGCTCCGATAAGAAACCGAAATCTAGAAACGCGTCCAAATGAAGCGTTTTTACACTTTTACAAACCATCATGAAGTGGTTTTCGATGACGCTGAGCAAGTTTCTAATTGAAACCAAATGTCTATTTTCATTAATTAAAAGTTAATTAACGAATTTCAATTAATTATCCGACTGATCGTTACGATTAGCCCCCTATAATATGTCCCCCTGGCCGTATGACTCACCTCCACAAGCGGCATAAGTGTACCTTTCACGGCTTTTTTTAAACGAATCTGTTAAGCTTAAAGAAAAACACCCTGTATATATATATAGTGGGAAACATTCCCAATTTTGAATATTCTGGATCGTGGGTCAAACTGAAACAGAGCATCGTGTTTTGAGTGATCATAATTCCCCCAAAACAATAATCAATAGAAACTGGAAATACGAAAATAAACCCTGGAGAAGGAGAACAACAGGGACAAAGGACAAACATAAATCTCCAAACACAGCTAAGTGAGTGGTGAGCGACCGAAGAAATCCGCCTGGTCCGGGTTTCGAACCCGCGACCTCTCCATTACAGGTGGAGCGCTCTACCAACTGAGCTAACCAGGGGTTAGACGTCAGTAGAGCAAACGGGTTTTAGCAGCTGCCACCAGTCTAACACCCGGGTTCAAAACCCGGGTTCGAAACGCGGACCAGGCGGATTTTTTCGGTCGCTCACCAGTCACTTAGCTGTGTTTGGAGATTTATGTTTGTCCTTTGTCCCTCTTGTTCCCCTTCTCCAGGGTTTATTTTCGTCATTCTTGTCCAGCTCGCTTGCACCTTTGCATTTAATTGCATTATAATTGGAAATACGTATGTTTTACTTTATACTACACATTTTATTGTTCCTTATTCGCACTTCTTAAATTCGCATTTCCAAGAACATTCTACAGCATTCACACGTTAAGCTCATTCGGTGGGGCACATATGTATTATGTATACCATGCATAACATGGTAACCATGATTGCAGTAAAGAAAAGAAAACATTGCTTGCAAAGTATTTTCTGGGGTCAACACTAGGCACGGCAGCCGAACATTCTCCAAGATTCACTTGTACCTAACAATTCTTATCAAATATTCAAGCCCCGATTAACTAATATCAGTCAGCGAATGACGAATCTGCATGGCAAGGGAAATATTGGATAAGGGTGGCGATGTGGGTTAGTTGGTTCATACTGACGAAATGGCAAACAGCGCACAGTAAACGGGGACTAAAGGAAGTGCAAACAGGACAAGCGCTTGTCCTGTTTGCACTTCCTTTAGTCCCCCTTTTACTGTGCGCTGTTTGCCTTTTCGTCGGAAATATTGGCAATAGGCATATACCTGCCGGCATCTCCGAAATATTATATCAGCGAAGTTATGTGTGATGTTATCGAGTAATAATGTAGTTTAAAACTGACCTGCATATAAAATTGATCACAATTGAGTCTCGAATTTTGTAATGCAAATAAATACATTTCTAAAAATTGAATTTGTATTAGTATACAGACTTTCTTGTATATTGTCACTTTCACCAAAGAAGCGTAAATATTCTACTAAAAATGTTATAAATATAAACGTTCATATACGACGTTTACATCGCAGTGCCAGCAGAGGGACTATAGTTACTGAACTAATGAAAACGGTACGGAGGTCTTTCGATTGTCCCGCTTCCAGCACGGAACAAACGAAGGACCTCTGACAACACTTTCGTGCCCCGTGACCTTCGAGCGTTCCGGTGCATTAAAAGCTTAACGAAAGGCAACGAGCACGTGTCCGGGGCCGGGGATTTGGAAGTGATGTCCTGATTTTCTCATCGCGTCATAATATACGGCGAGAGCGCGCGTATTTTCGATGTGCTCTCTACACGTGAGGGCTCGTGCAAACAAAGCAACAAGCCATCCCGAAGTGTTACTTTTTCGCATTCGCACCTTTCCTAGCACTACATAGAACTTGTAAGGCAAACTATAGCACAAATGATCTGAATTTCGATCATTTCACATAAAATAATTGTAAGTGCTCAGAACGAGTTTTTATTAGAATTACCTCCAATTACCCACAAAAGCTGGTGTTTCTCGACATAAGCGACCTATGGCGAAAGAGTTCAGTACTTTTCCTGTAGTGAGATAAAGAATACGAATAATATATGTTGAAAGTAAATCTCTATGAATCCCTTTGTCCTGGACGCAATACACAACGCCGTTGCATCATCTCCAAGCGTCATGCACCTATAAGCTGTCATAGAAACCGAAACGGGAGCAAAACTTCAAACTTTTAACATGCAAATAACAAATACATAAAATCTAAAAAAAAATCGTATATTCTATAACAAAATTGTGAAAGCAGATATCCCAAATATAACATCCCCGCTCCTATCTTCGTGTTTCTCGACCGATTTGAATAAAAAAAGGCACGAGTAAAGCTCAAATATTTAAGATACAGTCCTACATTTTGTGTCACAGTGCACAGTTTGGAAACTCTTACATAGATAGTATTTCAATAAAATACATAAATAGTTTGTAGCTATCACGTTAAAATTGATTACATTACTCTCCAACCTTGCGCGTACCTTCTTGGGGCTAGTGGTATTTTCGAAAAGAGTACAACAACGCATAATTAAGAGCGCTGATATTGTTTTTCTTAAAACATTCTCTTAGGTTGCTTGTAAGGTTCACGTGACTTTTACCGCTGTATCCTTCCGATATTCCCACTGCAGGATTGGCGGTTGCGCTGTTCCATCGACGATTTTCCCTGTGGACGATCGGATTGACAGCTAGTACTCTAGCTTGGGTCGGGCCAGTGGCTGCCAGTTTTGCTCCAAACATTGCCTGGGTTACTGGAACTATGGGATTTCTTCATGGTAAGTTAAGCATTGTAAGCAATACGGTACTATTTTAACGATCATTATTCACGTGTCTTGAGTGCAGTTATTGGTTTAAGATATGTCTAACGTGCTTCTGGAGTCACTGACAATGTGAGAGCGGCGGGGAGAAGCTTCTATTGCCCCACATTTCAGCATCAGTTTCCTACGTTTGGCAACCCTTGGACATCCCATGCACCTCAAGCCCTTGCGTGCAGCCAAAGCCCGGCGGAAGGCGTGGAATGCGCTTAGAGTATCCACACACCATGCATACCCCGACTGTCTTCTAGTCCCGCTATTTTTGTTGCCTTTCAAAATAGGGCGCGCAAATGGCCACAGTTACAATTCAAAAATGAACCTACCAGAGTTTTCAATGTGGCGTCAGAAAGTTCATGCGACATGGCTTCGCTTTGTCACAGAGTATTTTAAAATTTCAGGAAGACAAACACCCGTTGCCTGCGATTTCAAGTAGAGCTTCAGAAAAATTGAAATTTTTATTTTAAGAAGCAATGCGGCTGAAGTGTCGTCACCCAGAGCCGTACCTCATTCAGAACCTCTAGACGATACTAAAGACCAGAATCCATAGTCTGCATCGAGCAAAACACAGATTCACTTGAAGGATCTTTTTCGCCTTGATATATAAATGTGTAACGTCCGAAAAAAAAAACACACTTGGGTTCATTCAATACATTTTTTCACTGATCTGTATTATTTATGGGCAAATCCTCGTCATAACAGAACCACGCGAAACTTTATTGTGCCAAAACAAATGTTTTTTCCGCCATTGCAGGTCTTGGAGCTGGAATGTTCTTTGTCACAATGTCAATGGCTCTTCTGATGTACTTTGATCGCTACCGAGGGGTGGCCAATGGCATCAAGAGCATGGGAGGAACGTCGTCTTCTTTATTCTTTCCCAAGCTTCTGGTCTTCCTTAAGGAGAGCTATGGATTCCGGGGTACTCTTCTCTTGTTCGGGGGCATTGCGATGCATCTGGTCGTATTTGCACTTTTACTGAAGGAACCACCATGGATCAAAAAGCGGCCTCACCTGACGAAGGAAGCAAAGACACCTGATAAGCAAGAAAGCATTGGCGACTCGCAGCACGAAACTACAAGTGGCGTATCGACTGGCATCGAGCCTACCCAGACTAAGTCTTCAACGTTACAGCTTTTTCTATCTAGAGCATTTTACGTCATTATCTTTTCCGGACTTGTCGTCTACTACAACCAGAACATTTTCTTCTCAACCATCATTGACTTCCACCTCGATAAGGGATTTTCAATGTCCGACGCTGCCTTGACAATGACTTACTTCGCCGTGGCCGAGATCATCGGGCGTCTCGGTCTTTGCTTTCTGGCAGACCAAGGTTACATTCGCCGCACCTCTCTTCTGATTGCGAGTTTCTTTTTTATGGGAGTTTCTATGTTCGCTGTCGCTCAGGTTCAATCCCTCTTGCTCATGCAAGTCTGCTGTCTTCTCCTTGCGGCTTTCTACGGAACTGCGTTCACGACTCAGATGGTCGTCATCGCTGACTATTTGGGCGTGGATCAACTCTCCTTGACCTACGGATTAACAGGACTTATTGCCGTTCCTCTCTTTCTCGGCAATCCATTTATTCTCGGTGAGTAGTTCTCGACTTCATCGGACTTGCCGCGTGCACTACTTATAGTCTGTTGTAACATTAAAAACACAGGACAAGCTCCATCCACAAAGCGCTTCACTCTTTTCCCTTTAGCAATGCGAATGCTGGAGTGAATGCGAGAGGAGAGAGGTAAACCATCAATTATGGCGAACGAAGAGTATTGCGGGAGGGACCTGGTTCTATGTTCTTTAACTTGTAACAAACAGAGCACACCTTCTAAATGTTATAATTATTTGCTTACTCAAAATGCAGACTTCGAAGGTTTATTATTTAGTTATATTATTCAGCAAGTGCATAAGTAAAGCGTGTAGAGAATGAGTACCAAAGGGCATTAAACATAATTACTAGTATTGTTATTCTTCAAGTGCTATATTCACTTCAGATAAGTTTGATTCTCTAGCCCTGAGGTCTGCAAGCATTTTTGTTAAGGGGACGGATAGGGGATCTGCTGCTGTCTCGAGGGCAAGAAAATAAAAGGTATGGATATAAATGAGCAGTTAACTTAATAAATAATCTTAAATCAGCATCTCAATACAAAATAAATCTTAGAGTAAAAAATAGAAGCTAAACCGGATGGAAATATATACTTTCTTTTGTAATTTAATATTTAGCTACTCATAGCATTGCACAATAATTGGGACACAGAAAACTCAGAAGGCAAAAATGAAAGTGCATGGGACCTTTGGCATTTTCACGCAAGGCAGAAGACCAATGAGAATGATATAACTGACGCAGACCATATGCCAATGATACGACAGATTACATTAAGCGCAATTACAGGGGAACGTAAAAGGAATCTCAAGATGCGTAGTTTCACAGGAATGAAACAAAGAAGTAAGAATAGTGATGCTCGTGGTGACAATATCCAGTCAATAAAATGACGAGAAGACAGACATAATGAATAGGCAGATTTATCACGTTTTTTTTTTTTTAAGGTGTCTTCGCTTAAGTGGTTGGAGCGCATGGCTATGCCGTTTCTTTAGGCGCGCTTATTTTTAGCGCCGGTAGCAGCGGGCCTCCTGAGAGCGAGCTGTGGGCCGGGCTTCTGCGGCCAGCCACGGGCTGATGGGAAGACTTCCGCAGGTCGGGGTTCGGAGACCCCTGTTTTAGCCCGATATTTCGGAAGAAATGTGGGCTCCAAATAGTTAACATAATTTTCCCATAATACTCGTTTAAATATTAGACGCTTCGCAAAAACATACTTCCTGGCTATGTCCTTAAGTTATTGTTTCGACCTTTTTTTTCCGCGTCCTGCCCATTAAAAATACGTAAACAAAAACACAAACCCTGTGGTGAGGTCAGAGGCTCATCTTGCCACACCGCCGTCTCCTTCCGCACAATAAAGACTGTCTACTATGGCCATCGTCACCATAGAAACGACGGATCTCCTGAACAGACGTATACGCGAATGCAGGCCTAAAGCCAGCAACAACCCGGGCTATTTTTCGAATGCCGTCTGCTGGCGGCATTCGACAGATCCCCATGACAGAACAGCACACGACATAACAGCACGCGACAAAACAGCACGGTCAAAACAGCACGCGTCAAAACCGCACAGCGTCAAAACAGCACGGCGACAAAACAGCACGAGTCAAAATAGCACGCGACAAAACAGCACAGCGTCAAAACGGCACAGCGACAGAACAGCACGTGCCAAAACAGCACGGCGTCAAAACAGCACGCGTCAAAATAGCACGCGACAAAACAGCACAGCGTCAAAACAGCGCAGCAACAAAACAGCGCAGCGTCAAAACATGGCATTGACAATATAGCTCGGGTTCGGCGTTTTTGGTTTGTATTATTTGAAATTCCGCGCACTTTTTTTCGGGTTTTATTCCAAACAAAAGTTTTCGGTTTATTGCGTTGAATATCTGTAGACTCATAAACTTCTCAGTTTTTTTAGGTTTATTCACGAAAACCAGTATACTAACGAAAACGCAATAATTAAAAGCGTTTGAGTAAAATGTCTATTGAGTACCAGGTACTGGTCGTCTTATTTGTTGCCGTCTTCGGCAGCCGACGCGACCTGTCCTGTAAGACGCATTGGGGCCTTATCGGGATCTGACATTATCGTCGTGTGCTCGTATTTGTACACAGGACGAGCATGAGCTTCAGTATACCACTTCGGTCGGAGAGGCAAATATCAAAATGGAGAAATTAGTAAGCATTGTACTCGGTGCTTTTTCCCCCATTTTCACGATTGCAAGAGGTGATGAATTCGCGCCGACGGCAGAAATGACACTAAAACACTCGCATTTACACCCTCCTCTATAGTAGACGGAAGCTAGGGGTGCTAAACAATGCGCGGCATTTGCGGACGCTCTTGATTTCCGTTGTTTGATTTCGCGATTAAACTCTCTTCTTTTAACGAAGAATTCGGCCCAAATCCCTATCAGGTGAAAAACCCAGATTTAGTCCTGAAGACCCCTGCGCCCCCGCAGCTTTTGTTGAAAGTTGAACCGATCTCGCAGACAAGCTGAAAACTGCGGAAGAAAGTGGTGATATGGTCAGTAATGAGTAGGGTTCCGTGTTTTCGGAGTTTAGTTTTCGTCAAGTTCAGAGGGTGTCTTTCTGAGTTTATGTTTTGCCGAAAATTCGGAGTTTATCGGAGTTTATTTTTGTTTGATTCCGAATTCTCCGAAATTCAGAGCTCAATTTCGCAGTGTTTCTTATTAAAAATAAACAAATAATATGCAAATGTAAACGTAGGCTGGACAAAACACAAAACAAAAACGCGATTGTAACAATAATATTTTCTTCAGTTTGATTTGGCGTTGGTGCCATTACTACTGGCAATACTAATTTGCCCTAGATCAAGAGTGGCACACAAGTGTTATTTCGATCAATTTCGATAGCTTAAAATCAATACCCTACTGGAGGTAGTCGCTGGGAAGCCTGTATTCATTCCATGCTATTCCATCAACCTACCGCGCGGCCGCAAGAGCTAGAGTGGAACAGGATGAAATTGAGAAGTTTCAACTGGTCCTCTTCCTCACTTTATGTAATTTCTATGGTCCTTAGCTTTCACGGTTACAAAAACACACCCTCTCCTTCCTCTCAGGCACAAATAGTATGACCGAAACCAAAAACATAAACAGTGACTTTTGTCTTGACCTGATAGTACAATGACCTGCTGTCCTGGCCGAAATTTGAAAGATATGTGTGGTGGCATTTTCCCAGGACCATTTACTCTACGCTCAGATTAAACCATTAATTTTAAATATATTTGTGTGTGTGGGGGGGGGTGAGGGGGGGAGGGGATCGGCACATCGAAATTCAGAGTTTATCAGATAAATCCGAATAGACGAAACTTTTACCGGCGGGTGTTTTTTTGAATTTATCCTAAAACACGAAACCCTAGTTACGAGTCACATCCCCCTCCCCCCCCCCCCCCCCCCCCCCCCACACACACACACCACTCCAAACGCACTCGAAAATACTAAACGTTTTCAGTTAAGACCGAATTTGGAAAAATGACTTTGGCCTACTTTTACCGGTTACATTCGGTTTAACCCGAAAACGCTGAACACTAAATATAGCGTTTGAAGTTCAAAAATGCACGTCTCAAATAAGGCACTGTAAAGGAATTCGTTCTAGGCATTTGTCGACAGCCAACCCTCGTCGACGGCCAATTTTTCGAATCTGTTCTTTTCGAAGCGAGTTCGGAGTGGGGAGTATACTCGATGCGCGCATGACGGGTGCCTGGGCAGTACCGAAGCCACCGCTGGTGCGTATTCTGGCTATTTTGTAGCGTGAGCTCCACTCGCCGAGGTTAAGCAGTTTCGCGTGGCTCGCATATTAAACCGTGCTCCGTGCTGCGCATGCGCGAGGAGCAGTGACGTCACACGGCGCACAGCTGGCTCGCCGGAGCCGCCGCCGCACGCGCCTCGCCGGTCTGCGCATTCCAGAGGAGTGACGTCATAGCCGCGGCAGACGCACTGGCGCCGCCGCGTGCCCAGCTGTGCGCCTCCGTTGCGCAGTAGCCAAGTCTGACGCTGCACCGGAGCCGCTTCATAGCGCCTCTCATTTTGTGCGCATAAGCTCACGCTACGTATATCCTGGCATAGCCGAGCTAAGCCACAGCAATTTTTTCGAGCAGTTTTGCTCATTTTGACGCGCAAGTTTGCTGGTGATATTGTCTAGAATAAATAATTCAATCGCACGGCAATGTGCTGTCGTTAGTTGTTAAAATAAAAAAAAAAAACAGAAAGAGTGTGCGGCATCGGTGTGTTCAGCCCATGCTGCAGTGTAACGCCACAGCATTGAGGCTGCGGCATGTTACTGCTTCACCGGTTTCCACTCAATCAAAGCCTTCGTCGGCAATGATCTGTGAATTTAACTCAAAACGTACAACTTCTCGCCTGCAAGCTCCAGCCGCGTTTTTCCATGTGATTTTATTCACGGCAAATGAACCCCGCAGAATCGGTACCCATGGTACACCTTGAATACGCTCCACATTAAAGTCATCTTATCTTACCGGTTCTGTCAATGCATCTGTAATCGGCGCATCTCCCGCTTTTTTTTTTCTTTCTTTTAGGAGGGGGGGGGGGGGGGGCATTTCGTGCTTAGGTGGGAATTCCGAAACGGCGAGTACTACGGAACTTCACCGGACCGACACAAACCAGGCAGTTCATAACTTTAACCTATGAATATATTTTCCCAATAACTTTTCCTCTTTCCCTGATACTTCAAAAAAGACCAGACAACGCAGCCAACATCGACGCGAAGGTATCCCTTCTAACTACCCAATCTCTTCAGAGATTAGCGTAGTTAAATAGTTGTAACTGCTGCTAACTTTATATGTTTTTAGCAATCACACAACAGCAGCAGCACTGGGGACACTGGCTTCAGTCCGGTCCCGTTGTCGCCAGCGTACATTTTTTTATTGGTTCTCCACTAGCTGTTAAATAATGCCATGCAATGTCCAATCCTTTTTTTTATGTTCTGTTTTGTTTTTATAAAACGCTACCTATTACAGCCTTTTTACATGCGTGCTGTTTCGTCGCTGTGCTGTTCTGACGCCGTGCTGTTTTGGCACGTGCTCTTCTGTCGCTGTGCCGTTTTGACTCCGTGCTGTTTTGTCGCGTGCTATTTTGACGCGTGCTGTTTTGTCGCCGTGCTGTTTTGACGCTGTGCTGTTTTGACGCGAGCTGTTTTGACCGTGCTGTTTTGTCGCGTGCTGTTTTGTCGTGTGCTGTTCTGTCGCGTTCCCCCGTCTGCTATGTAATCACAACATAGTCGAACGTTGCGAAACGGTACTGCCTGGGGTCTGTCTTTAGAAGGTGTTGATTGAGCGCGCTCTCAAATGTGATGAGAGCGCAGAGGGTACGAGAGGGAAGAGTATACACATATGGCTTCGGAGAAAACGGAGTCGCAAAATCGAGGTGTTAAAGTTTGGACGTGCGACCGCAAGGGACGCTAATTTAGCGCTTCTTTCCCGGTGGTACACCAGATTTAGCAGGCTTTCCTTCTGATGCTCTACGCACGACAATGTTTTCGCCGTGGAGGCATAAAATGCGTACAAAATTCCTTTCGTGATACATTACCACGATGTCACTCACAGTACAATCTGTGTTACCGCTAATTTTGCAACGATAGTGCGGAAAAAGTGCAGCTCTTATGGTTGATTTCTGCTCGAAGAAGCTCGTGACAGCTAATTTAACAAAAACAATTGTGTTTGCCAAGATTAATACATTTCTTCTTACTGCTATTCTTTCTTAAAATAAGTTAGATTAACTGTTTGCCTTCTTTTGAACATGGTGATGCATTTTTACAGGTGCCTTCAGAGATGAGATGGGTTCATACGACAACATGTACAGAATACTCTCTGGATTTTATGTCTTGAACGCTTTGTTGTGGCTCTGGCTGGTGTGGTCAGGATTGAGACGTAATCGGACAACGTACAGCGTTTGTAATACTGACGAAGTTGTTCCTGTGCCCGAGCATAGAACTACAGTGACCAAAGACGATGTAACCCTAAAAGAAGTTTCAGTGCCACAAACAGTAAATTAAGGCTTTAATAAAAATATCATGGACTCCAAATATATTGTCAACTGAATGCCTCCAATAATTATAAAACCAGCGATTACATACCAACCGGGAACTGGTTCAAACAAATTGCTTACTTTTGCCTCTACGTTTTAGCAGATGCAACAGAAACTATGCTGCATCTGCAACAAAGTATGTGCTGTTACAATTAGAACCGTTGTAAAACAGCGGTAATATTTGTAACCTAAAAATTGCGGCAATTAGTGCCTTGTGCGTTTTTATCACCACTCAAAGTCTCGCAGTTTTTTAAGCAATTAATGACGCTCCGTTGGAGAAAAATGCATACCCCGATGTTTTGGGACCAACCTCACTTCTGAGTCGCAGATCACGCCAGATCACGACCGGGTACTACTTATATGCGGTCTCCCGTACGTCATCAGAAGCTCCCAAGTTGCTGCACAAGTATATTTCTCACTCTGGTCGAAAGATATAAACTGTTATACAGGGTGTCCCAAAAATATTTGAAAGTTTTAAAGGTTTTTTTTTTTTTTTTTTTTTTTGCAAAAAGAAACTACGCAATGCTGGACGTTCATTTTTCGAGCTAAGCAGCGCTAGCAGTCCGAACCCGATGCCGAAGATTCAGCCCCAACTATTATTTTATGCAGAATTTAAATGTTTTATTGTTTTCAACGGGAAAATGGCGACCGACAAAGCCATCAAATACATGGAGCTCTATGGCGCCAGTCACCAAAAACGTGCCAAAGTGAGCCCCACTTTCCCATTAAAATTTTAGAAAATCACAGAACTTTTTAATAAGAAAGCGGTTAGCGCTGAAACGTTGTCATCTGGATTGGACGGCTTGCGCTATATCATTTGGGCGGAAAATGATCGTTCGGTGATGCGCATTTTATTTTTGCAATACAAAAAGCACTGTAATCTTCCTTCTTTTTTGGGAAGAGGGGGAGGGGGGGGAGGGGGAGTGTCGGGAAGGGAGGAGGTTAATACGCTGCATAAAAATAATTGCCAACCGTGTTACGTCAGTAGCAAGGGTACTTGCCTGAACATAATTTTTTAAAACATAAGAGCATGTCCCAACGATGCTAGGGAACAACCGAATAACCAGGCAGAAAAGCCTGACTCTAACACTTATTTCGCCCAACAATTTGGCGAAAAAAGAAAAAAGAAGACAATTTGAATGGGTAAACGCAACCATGCCAAAGCACTGCCATCGTCGTCGTCATCATTGTTCGGAGCTCATTTTTGTTTAGTTCTTCACAACACATGTCTGCTTGGATTGGTCTCCATCAAATGGTTTCCTTATTTTATTATCACGAGAGTGCTCAAAAGCGTCTGTAAATGCTTATATGCAATCATTACGACTACGGGTGTTTTATTGGGCAATATTCTCTTATAGCAAAAATACCCCTTTTTGGGCCGCAGTCCAGCCGCCGTATACGAAAGGTATCTATTACATAAGTACCGGCTTAACTAGTTAACGGGTAATAAAACGCTTACAAAGGTTTGAATTAAAATAAATTTATTACAGTAAATATTTTCACATCGAACGTGTTCATTATGAATCTCTAAAGTATGACACGCATGAGACGCATGCACTAACATTTCAGGTAATATTATATCCAACAAAAATTTTATGCTTTTGTGAATCCTCCAAGAACGAACGAATTTTTTGTTTATGTTCTTCGCGAGATAGTGTATCTTTGGACATCTTTCAACGAGCCTCTCAACGGCATTTTGACATGACCTTGGCAACTGATTGGCAAAGAGATCTATTTGAATTCACCGAGGACCTATCAGCTTGCTTTTCCCCTTCTCGTCACTCCGTCACAATTCACGCCCTACACCATCCGAGAGTAGGGCAGATCGACACTTGGATTGCCAGTGTCTGGACCACTCTGGATGCGAGAATGGGTAGACATGTCAGGGACGGTGCCTGATTTTGATGTGTCTTCTCGACGTATGGTGGGAAATAACGGCAGACATCTTCTCTCCCAGTACACGATCAGAAACCACAGCAATCCCGAAAATAAAATGAGTCCACCTTGAAATCGATACAGGTTGTCATATGACCCCATTCGGTCACGAAAGATTCCTGAAAAAAAAAGTCAAAGATGTAAAGTTTTCGAGAACGAAAGCAATTACATTGGTGTGATCAATACTGCATTATGCGCTGCAAGTATCCCAGGTTCTTGCTTTGATTATTAGTAGTAAGTAGCGATTTGTTAGTATTAAGTAGCTAGTCGCAAGAAACAAGTAGATAGTAATGTGAAGTTAGTGGTAAGAGGTACGTACATAGTGGATAGTAGTTACTACGTGCTACTTAGTAGTTTGTAGTTGGCAGATAGTACTTAGTACTTAGTAGTTAGTAGTACTAGTTAGGTTTCTGTCGTAGTAGTTGGGTTGGCAGCGCATCTGATTCATCCAGGTCTTCCTAGAAAGCGAATCACATAATCCGGTGTGTGCTACGCATATATAACGCCTACCAAAGAATAAACAACGCTTTTTCGCTCTCCCCCGCAGTCGGAATTTGTGTGGGTTATTCTTGCGGCTGCCCCTCAGTGCGGCGCGATTGATAACGCGGCAGTAGTAGTGGTTGTTAGTAATTACCAGTTAGTAGTTAGCAGAAGCAGTAGAAGTAGTAGCAGCAGTAGAAGTAATAGTAGTAATATTTTTTGAAGTCGTCTAATGGGGGGAGGCGGGCAATTAACCTGGTATAAGCCGACCCTCTCAGTCTTACTCTCTGACCGAATTGTTCATCTCGAAGTTGAAACTATTTGAATTCCGATTGACTTTAAATAGCCCCTTTGCCCGCTGCCTAGACTTTCTAGACAATTTGAGTTGACTCAACGGGATCCTGACCCCCACTCCCTTCATTTCGACGAAACTATTTTCATTTAGGCATTGCTCTAACTCGAAGGTGATTCATTTCACAAACTCTAAAAAAGACCTAAAAGGTATTCAATATAAACAGTTAAATAACATTTTTATAAAACAGATCGTGTTACAGCCTCTAGCTTGCACCAACGTATCGGCGCACTTTAACGCACTTACCAACAATAGCAGGATTGAAAAGTTGCAGTGGGGCTCTCACGATGCCAATGACACCATGAAGAAAGCCGAAGCTTTCGATGCCAAAGTAGTCGGCCAATAGCACTTGGTGCAGAAGGAGCGAACAACCGACAAAACATGAAGCTAAAGCAACAATGGTCGCGATGGACCAGTAGGTGGCTGCTAAAGGAGTTATCACCATGACGGCACCCGTCATAAGTTGTGTAAGCGCCAACAAAGTGCTGCGGCGAAGGTATTGTCTGTCGGCAAGCAAGGGCAGGCACAAGCCTCCCAGAAGGTTCGTTGCCGAAAAACACGACGATATCCAAACAGCCTCGTCTAGGGAAAGACCCTTGTCTTTTGAAAAGTCGGTCATTGTTGACAGAAACATCAGGTCCAGTGTGTGTGTAGCCGCTGTCGACCAGACGACAATGTGCAAGACTGGAGAACGAATCATGGTACTGATAGCCCATGTATTGAGGCGTGATTTCAAGGAAGGTAAAATGCGTGTCGGATTCTTAACGACAGCGTCGGATGTTATTCGACGAAGCGAGGAGGTCGATCCTTTCTTATGTTCGAGTTTGCTCCAAGGAGGAACCTTAAGCAAACAGATAAGAGGTGTCGAGTTCATGGAAAGGGCACCCAGAAGGAACAAAGTAATCGGGAAACCATAAGCACTCCTTAAATACAGGAGTAACTTTGGAAAAACGAAACCTGCGGCTGTGATTCCGGAAGATGCAACTCCTAAAGCTACAGACCTGAACTTGTCGAAATACATAACCGTAAACATTCTTACTGCCAAGAAGATTGCGCCGCTTCCGATACCTGTAAAAAAATGTGTTTTTCAGTTAATTTGTTCTGGAACAGTTCCATAGTCATTCACAGTTCATATGCGCTCAAACATATTAAACATTTTCCGTATTACAGTATCGATTCAAATATCACTGCGTCTTTATGTGAGCATGCTGCTATTCTTGAACCTTGCTGAGATAAAAACACTGACTAAGTTGTTTTTTCTTCAGAAACCGCAGTAAAATTAATACCTAATGACAGTAAGCCCTCACATTCATCGCATTTCTTGCAAGAACCATTTGCACATTTCTTAACGAGAAATAGTTTTATATTAGCTCTGTGAACGTAGCAGAGCAACCTAATTTACATCCTCGAAGCGTGAAATGAGCAACAAAATTCCTTTAAAATCATTGTTCATCCTCACAGAATTTTCACGCAGAAGAAAATAATATATTTCGCAGGCTCCCTACGGTAAACCACATTTAATCCAAAATAATGTTGTTGTTGTTGTTGTTGTTGTTGTTGTCGTCGTTGTCGTCGTCACCATTGTTGTTGTCGTTGTCGTCGTTGTTGTTGTTGTTTGTTGTTGTAAGTTGGGCGAGTTGGTATGACGACATGGTGAACACAACAGCGCACAAAACGACGAGGGCAGACATCAGGATCATGCGCAACACACAAGCGCTGACTCGAAACTGAATTTATACACAAAAGGAAGAAGAGGGCGTTCCGAAAGACACGCAGGGCACGCAGTGCGTGTCACGCGCGACACAACACCATTTAACTACAATGCCTTTGCCCAATGGTCACGGTGCCCATGGTCCGATCTAAGAACGAGGTTTCGGTTTGATGCAGTGTCACTGATGAGTGGCTAATACAGCTGTCCCCCAAGCTGTTGATGCAATGCGCTTCAGAGATTTCGCGAGTCGTTTTGTCTTGGTAATGTCCAATTATTATTGTGCCTTGGACACTATCGATTGGACAATTGGACATTATCGAGACAAGACGACTCGCGAAATCTCGGAAGCGCAATGCATCGAGAGCTTGGGGGACAGCTGCATCAGCAACCAATCAGTTTTTGTTTTAGATCGGACTAAAAGGAAAACACATTGTAGTTAAATAATGTGTTGCGTGTGACACGCACTGCGTTCCCTGCGTGTCTTTCAAAACGCCCTCTTCTTCTTCCTTTTGTGTATAAATTCGGTTGCGAGTCAGCGCTTGTGTTGTTGTGCATGATCCTGTTCTGCTCACCATGTTGTTGTTGTTGTTGTTGTTGTTGTGGTGGTTGTCATTGTCGCTGTTGTTGTTGTTGTTGTTGTTGTTGTTGTTGCTGTTGTCGTTGTTGTCGTTGTTGTTGTTGTTGTTGTTGGTGGTGGTGGTGGTGGTGGTGTTGTTGTCGTTGTTGTTGTTGTTGTTGTTGTTGTCGTCGTCGTCGTCGTCGTCGACGTCGTCGTCTTTGGCGATTTCGTCTTTATTACGTATTTAAAGGCTCGGAAGAAATTATGGGTCGCAAAGGGCAACCGCCAACGTAAGTTGGGTGACTAACGAAATTTAATGGCCCCCTAAGTTATAGGTTTCATTAGTAAGGTTATTAGTTGGAGTTTTAAATTCAGTAATTTATAAAGCCTACACGTATTTAAATGGTTTGCGAAAAAGCCAAGATGCTAGGAGATATTCATCGTTCGTTTTTCACGTTCTCGTCGCCTGATTTCGAAAGCAGGAGCAGAAAGAGCGGCGGAAGTCCTGCCTGTAATGGTGTGGAGAACGTAGACCTAACACGCAGTTTCAAGTACCTCGTCACTATATCAACAGTGCGCCTTCGGCGCATCTATGAGGACCCGCAATCAAGTTTTTTACGAGGAGGTTGAAATGTCTCTTTTCCGTACGTAGTTCTACACAAAACATTCGTTTCTGAGTCCAGTTTTGAAATCCGGCTACAATCACGCAAAACTGTTCGACGATTATCTCAAACTTGGTTACCAATCTCAATTTTATATTATATAAGCCAATTCTTTGATAATTATTTCCTCTTAAAACTGTGACTTCTCTGTAGCCCTTAGATATCTTAATTAAACATTTCAAAACATTTTACGAAATTGGGTTAATTTGAACGGTTATTAAAGTACGTCTTCTTCGTTTCGTCTGTTTGATTTATTTTTTCATTTACGTTCTTATTACTTTTAAAATGATAAATTTGCGTTTGTGTTTTCGTGTAAGGTATTTCTTGTATCGAGCACTGTCTTTGCGAATTTTGAGATTTTGTGAGTGTCTCTTGCATAGAACATATTTATATATTTTGTAAATTTATTCATTCATGTTTTGATTACATGTAAATGTTCACGTTTTATTTGTAATGCTTTTCTTCTGCTGTCCCTTCAACAGCATTTTTCCCGTTTCCTCCACGGACATTGTATTTCTTGTTTGAAATATTAGATATGTTTGCAGTTAATTAACCAATTATTGTGACAGTTACCTCTCCCCCCATTTAATATCTGTCGAGCACGTTAATCCCAGTGGGATAATATAGTCTTTATAACTCTAATATCTTTCTTTTTTGATATATCTTTCAATTAAAAAATGAAAGCCGTTTACAACTCCCTGTAACGCCGAATTAGAGCGCAGCTCTTGAGGAGGAGGAGGGAAGAGTACTGGGGGGGGGGGTCAAGTGACCTCGGGGGGCGGGGGGTCACGTGACCTTGGGGGTCACGTGACCTTGTGGGAGTCACGTGACCTTGGGGCGTCACGTGACGTCGGGGGGTCACGTGACGATACCGATGACGTCATCAGTAGCGTCACTGATGACGCCATCAGTGATGATGATGACGATGCGGATGCCGGTGACGTCATTAGTGACGTCACTGATGACGTCATCAGTGACGATGACGATGCGGATGCCGGTGACGTCATCAGTGACGTCACTGATGACGTCATCAGTGGCTATGACGTCAACGGGGGGTCACGTGACCTCGGCGGGTATCCCCAGGTCACGTGACCCCAGGGGGGGTCACTTGACCTGGGTAACCATCGTGACCCTCGTGAGGGTAACCCTAGTAACCCTTGTGAGGGCAACTCTCGTGACCCTCGTGAGGGTAACTCTCATGACCCTCGTGAGGGTAACTCTCGTGACCCTCGTGAGGTTAACTCTCATAACCCTCGTGACCCTCGTGAGGGTAACCCTCGTGAAGGTTACCCTCACGAGGGTTACTAACCCTCGTAACCCGCGTGAGGGTTACGAGGGTAAGTAACCCTCGTGAGGGTCACGAGGGTTATGAGAGTTACCCTCACGAGGGTAACCTAACCCTCGTAACCCTTTTGAGGGTTACGAGGGTTGGTAACCCTCGTGAAGGTTACCCTCACGAGGGTTACTAACCCTCGTAACCCTCAAAAGGGTTACCTTCACGAGGGTTACCCTCACGAGGGTTACTAACCCTCGTAACCCTCGTGAGGGTTACAAGGGTAAGTAACCCTCGTGAGGGTAACCCTTGTGAAGGTAACCCTTCTGAGGGTAAAAACCCTCGTAACCCTCGTGAGGGTTACGAGGGTAAGTAACCTTCGTAACCCTCACGAGGGTTACGAGGGTTACGAAGGTTGCGGTTACGCCGACGCCGACGGCGACGCCGCTCAAGCCGGGAACGGGCCCCTAAGAGCTGCGCTCTAAAACAATCCCCTTTTATGGGGTAATTTATTTATTTTGGACAAATATATTTTTAAAAAGCGTGAAATGTACACTAATGCGGTTTGGGCAGGTGGGCACAACACAGGCAGGGGGCCATAATATAGGTGGTGGTTCCTCACCTTAAAAGGGATACTCAACTAAACTTTTGTTGATTTACGTTTTATATTTGGGAACATAAACCTATAGTTCTAATTATAAACTTGCTGACAGTCATCGAAAACAACTAAGTTAGTCAGTTTTATAACTGCTTGAAGCTCATCGGAAGTGCTGGGATGCGCCAGAGTACCTATTTTGCAACAGGCACAATGCTAGCTGAGGTGAAACGGGGATGATAAAAATATCATTTACGTCTACCCACCTCTTGTCTTGTGCCTGCTGCACGAGTGATAACGTTGTCCCACCCCGGCGCTTCCCACGTGCTTCAAGTTAGCCTGCAATTTATTGATAGCGTTGTTTTTGGTGAAGCTCAGCAAGTTTCTAATAGGAATCATGTGTTTAATTTGTTTTCCAAGCTGAAAAGGTAATTAACCAACTGCAATGTTCCAAGGTAAAGACATGAACAAAGACGATGCTAAAAAAAATTAAAGCCGTTTACAAATCCCTGTAACACTGAATTAGATTGCAGCTCTTGAGGAGGAGGAGGAAAGGGTACTGAGGGGAAGGTATATCCCTCCTTCCTCCTCCTCACGTCCTCATCCTGTCTGCTACTCCTCCCTCCGAGTGGCGTCGCCGTCGCCTCACGAGGGTCACGTGACATCACGGGGGTCATGTGACGTCACCGGGGTCACGTGACTTCACGGGGGTCACATGACCCCTATGACGTCACTAGTGATGATGACATCATCATTGACGTCACCAGTGCCGTCACTCTTGACATCATCATCACTAGTGACGTCATCAGTGACGATGAAGATGACGATGACGATGCGGATGCAGATGACGTCACTGATGACGTCATCAGTGACGCTGACGGTGCCGGTGACGTCATCAGTGACGCAGTTACGATGCCGATGACGTCATCAGTGACGTGACGCGTCCCATAATGCACCGCGCGGTTACGCCGACGCCGACGCCGACGCCACACAAGCCGGAAACGGGCGCCTAAGAGCTGCGCTCTAGAGAGGGAGGGGAGAAGGGACAAGGTGGGGGATATTATAAAATAAAACACCATTTAAACCTGTCACATATTTTGGACCTCTATACTTGGCGCAGCCGAGAAGATCCGCTGCATGATGTGAATCCAAAAATGTTTGACCCATGAAAAAAAAAAAGACGGACCATTGTGGAGAGCTACCAAATAGACGGTAAAAATTAGTACATCTATCCTAGCAATCTAAAAGCTCGGAGCTCATCACCTTTATCTCCGGTAAGGCGAAATTGTCTCCAGAAGATCTTGTCTAAAGAAAAACAGTAAAGCTGAATATCGAAATGAACAACTTCTAAAAGTGGTTTCTTAAGCCAACCGCCACTCAACTTCAAGAGGCTCCTGCCGAAGAGAACCTCTCATCAGTCGTTGCTCAGCTGCTGCAAATGCAGCTATCGTACCTTGAGCAGCAAAGGCAGCAGGTTGAAAAAATGGGAGCTCCCGACCGAAGATGGGAGGAAACGGTGAAGCCGGATATGTTCGATAGCGAAACTTCAGCTGCGGCTACCTGGTTAGACTTCTACGAGTACGCCTGCGAAAAATATCGTTGGATAGGAGACACGAAACGAATAAACAATGTGCGGCTATTTATGGCAGGGAATTCTAAGAATTGGTATGAACTCCGCGTTCGTGAAAACACGAACAATTCGTGGAAACTTTGGAGACAGTGTTGCACTACTCCATTCAAGGTGAATTCTGTTGAACGCTATGAAAAAAAAAAATCTTCCACAAACATCGGGGAGGCACCTTGCTGAACTACTTCTATGAGAAGAGACGACATCTCCCACTCGCTGACCCTGCATTGCCGGAAACATCCATCGTCCCACTGTTTAGCTATGGCATGGACAAATATGTACAAAAGCAAGTAAAAGTAAAGCCTCCAATGAACACTGAGAACCTTCTACACTCACTAAAGGATGTATGTGTGAGCTCCCCAACTGCTTACGGGCAACAACGATCAGTAACCAACCCCAGAAGTGCGATTTCCGACACTCGTAGTGGAGACGAGCTCCCCGGGTACCAGGAAAGTAACACGCCTCGCATGAATTAGTCGGGAAACAATTCACTCAACCACATCGCAGAGAGCGGTGCTGACGAGCAACCAAACAACGAATAGAGAAGGGTGTACAGTTCCAACCGATGCCAAAGAATGTGACTGTCTACCTCGTTAGGTACAACACTCTCTACACTAATGTTATCGTCATTTGGCAGATAGCTCGATGCCTTAGCTAACACCGAAGCCTCTATCAGTCTTGTTAATAAAAAATCGTGGACGAAAAGAAGATGCAACCTGAAAGCCTATCGAAGTTCATAGCTATGACAACACCGTTAAGCTGATGGGAAACTGGGTGACACTGGAAATGAAGTTCCAGGGAAGGAAGCTTACAGTTCAAGCACTTATCGTCGAACAGGTCGAGTTCATGTGCATCGTATCGGGACCGGGTGCACTTTTTTGGAAGGACGAAGTGACTCTGGATTAGGACGTGAATATCCAGCATATGAGCGCACTGAAAGTGCTCCGTATTGTGAAGACCTCAGATACGGTACCTGCACCGTACACCGACCTAATATGTGTTGGATTATATCCGCCAGCAACCTCAGTCATTAACGTTTCCTTTGAGCTACGAGATAGTTCCGGAGTACAAAAAAACCCTTAGAAGTATGTCTCATGAAAAATGATGGGGCTAAAACGGGAGCTGCAAAGAACGCTAGACGCTGGAATCATAACGCCATCGACGTCAACATTAGCATCTCTAATCACCACTGTATCTAAAAAAATGGCACGCTCCGTTTAGTTCCGTTTATGCACATATTACAGCCAAGTTAATTGCCAAACCGAGCTCCTCCCATTCCTAATGCCATGCGTGGATGACATCATCAAAGAGACGGGTAGATGCTCATCGGTTTTCCCGGATGGACCTCTGCAAAGGGTATTGATAAGTCCCCTAGATGAAGAAACTAAGAACTTCACCTCCTTCATGACGCTATTTGTTGTCTACGAGTATAATCAGCCACCATTCGAATGGTAGAACTCAGGAGACTGGTTTCACAGGACGATGAATAAGGTGCTCAAAAGCCTCTTGGGTGATTTCTGTAACGTCTAAGCCGATGGCAGTATTATTTATTCCCGGTTAACAGAAGAGCACGTCAACCATCTGTTCCCGGTTCTCAAAGCAAAGGGGGTAAAGAAGACGCCAATTTTGTTGTTTCGCTGAAGGAACGAGAAACATTCCAGAATACGAAGGACATTTTCTCGCACAATGGACCGGCCTGTCGCAGCAAGAAGTTGCAGAGATGCGCGCAAAAAAGAGGAATCATACTCTGATTTACTGCTCCATATCACCCAGAAGCAAATTCTTTAGCTGAGCAGGTGATATGAGACACCAAACAAATCATGGGAATGTATCTTAATTTCGCGGGTGGGTGGAAGTGCGCGCTTGAAGCAGCCGTTGCGCACCACAAACAATTTTCATACGATTGTACTAGGATGTAGCCCACAATTCGCCGCGTGTGGAGAGAGTCCGTGGCTACATGCAGATCACCTACTGTGTTCAACCGACAAAATCAATTTGCAGGAACAGAAATGACTATCACGGCAATAAAAAAAAATACGGGTAAGCAATGGAAAACAATTACGACAAACGACACCAAATTACAGTACCAGAAAAGGGTCCAAGGCCGCCTTTTCTCGGCCTTACATGGTCCCAAAAACATACGGACAGTAAGAAATTCTCAGGACTATGTGTTACTTTGGACCTAATGACACCCCCGAAATTACTGCTCTTAAAAACGTGGTTCCATATCACCCTAGGAGGGTTGAGCACAGAAGGTCCGGCGTGTGTAAAGTTTCAAGGCAAAGACGAGAACAAAGAGGAAGCTGAAAAAGTGGGGGAACGTGGTGAGAAAAGGCGATCAAATAAAATGCAATTTACTCCTGCTACATACTTTGTACCTCTATACTGATTTTAGTTAATTATTACAATTAACTTGAGAAATAACCCTCTGTATTATGTCCCACTGACTCTATAACTTACATGCACGAACCGCATTAGAGTACATTTCACAATTTATTTAAGCTGAATAGTTTCGAATTAAGACCACGCACCCCGGATAAACTAAACATAATAGTCCGGCTGTCCACCCAATGTGATTTGAAGGTTGTATAACAAACGATGCAATGCAGTACACTTGCCCCTCAGGCTGCGTAATCGACTCTATACTGAAGACGTTATCACTTTAATTTGTTGATGCCTAGGGTTAGCCCCATAGAGCACCGGGCAGTAACCGCACTAAGAAACAAAGGCTGTACGTACTATGAACGACTCCGATGGCGATAGACATCCAGATAATATTGGGAGCAAATGCCGAGGCCATGATACCAATCCATCCCAAAACGCTCCCAACAATTGCGATGTGCCGGATTGAGTATCTTTTCTGAAGCAGTCCCACGGAGAGACCTTGTAACGAAATATCATCATAAAAAATTTATATCACCTTATCACTAAAACATCGGCACATTTTTCAACCTCCATCACCGGGAGTGGGCAGCAAATAAGAGTTTATAATATATCCTGTGATAGCTCTATTTTTTTGTACTGTTACGAACATTTCAAGACCTTTGAAATAGAGCGACTGTATGTTACGTTATTGCTGCTGTCATCAGCTGTCTATTGAAAACATTGTACTTATGCAACAGAAATACAGTTAAACGCCATATCTTAGCTTCTTTTCGCACGGAACAAACACAGCAGGGATGGGCAGTATTTCAAATACAAGTATTTAAAATACGTATTTCAAATACTTTGTGTATTCTGCATTAGTATCTAATTACAAATTGTGTAATGTATTTGACGTGTGAATTTAAATACTAAAACGTGGGTATTTCAAATACAATTGTATTTAAATACAATTTTGTGGGCGAAAATACATCAATCAAATTCATTGTCACTGTCCAGAGCAGGAAGAAAACTATGTTCTGCACCGAATGCAGTGTCTCTCAATCAAGCACAAGCGTTTAGTGACTTTGTGATTACGGTGCTAGTCTAGGGCAAGAATAGTGACGAAATCGATGTTCACAGGCAGACTGGCTAAATAAGTGCCTGTGACAACTTGTGATGCTTTCCAGCCTGATTTTCATCCATATTTTTTGCCTGGAACAATCTAAATGCCGGGTCGTCCAGATTTTCATAACTGGTGTGAGTTGCAACAATAAAAAAGTCTCTAGCTAGTGCTGCGCGTCTTAGTCGTCTAGGTTCTTTGTTGGTCTATACCAAAATGTAATCAACAAAAAAGCTGCTTGAAGCTCTGTACTTTTTTCGCCTATTAAGTCCAAGCTGATTACATTTTTTTGTGATTATATATCTATTATGTCACTGCAAAATTAAAATATGGTACCCAGAAACCCGTTCCAGGTGCCCTGAAGTCGTTGACCCAAATTTTGAGGAATGTATTTGGAAAAGTATTTGGAGGAGACCAAATACATTTGGTTGTATTTGTATCTTGTACTTAAATGCTTTTTTGGAAATGCAATTAGACTTGTAATTAAAAACATTTTTGACGAAGTATTTTGTGTTTGTATTTCGATCATATTTGCATGTATTTTGCCCATCCCTGATACACAGCTATTATCTGTGCGTGTGCGTGCGCTCGTGTGCGTGTGTGTGTGTGTCAAAACGTTATTTTCAAGAAGAGGCGCAGTCTCTTTGACAATTTTTGTTGAACATTTGAAAGCTGCGACATAAGAGTTGTGGTGAACTTTGTGGAAACCCACTGTCAGTATGCGTGCACGAGTAGCGGACACTCACAGTCACTGCGGCCAAGAAATACCACCAATTTGGGGGCATGGAGACAATATTTTGATAATTCATAACCTAGATCCGCGCATGCGCAGGTCATGGGAAGCATTTCCGGTTGACAGTGGTTGAATACTGCTAGCATACTGATAGTGGAAGGTTCTACTGCAGATGGTGTTATGCCGTCACGCTTTGCATGTTTAATTTGCATCTTACTCTATTTCAAGTATTTATTTTTTACTGTCAAATCAGTTGAGTACCAAATTAGTAAGATATTAAAAAGTGGTTTAGTGCGAATTACATTACCGGTTCGTATTCAGTTCAATCATAAGAAGCCACGCAACGAGGTTTGACGCCAGAAAATTGAACGGAATCACTATTTAGGTTCGTTAAACGCTTTATTGATTCCTTGGACTAGCATCTTGTGTTCTAATAATTGTCTAATTTTATACTTATGGCAAGGCTCATTCGATGCTTAATTCATAGACTAAATCTGGCCTAATATTATTGGTTCACATTATGACTAATGCTTAATGCGGTGTTGTTTTGGAAGGGCGTTCTGGCAGGTTGTAAAAACGCCAAAAAACAACTTTTATTTAGATTCTTTCTGCGTTTTGTTGTCTCGGTCCATCTGAACAACAAACAAGTTAGGCTTCTATCGGAGGGAGGCTATATCGATGCGTATTGTGTAAAGGGTTGTACGAAGAAACCTTGTTTAGGACCAGGAATTTCAACTAGCTGCCGCTGTAAGGCGAAGTAGGCTTGCAATTGTACTGTACTGCTACAGTTAGGTAATATTCGGAACAACCCGGGCTAAAAGGCATTCGAAGATAATGCGCTGCATTTCTGTAGGGTATACTTACCACTGATGCCGCTTAGACACATCATAAGGCTTTGGGGCCAAGTGGCAGTCTGACGGTTCACCCCAAATTCTTCCATAAAAGCGACATATAGGAGTCCGGACGATCGCTCTAGGGCTACTCCAATAAAAGTCACGATGAATGTAATCACTACCACGCTCCAGCAGGTATCCACCGCCAACGCTCGTGGTTTCGTTGTCACAAGATCTGAGTCTGCCATCTTTTGAAGCTTGTGCCTATAGGAAAATAAGGGTAATGAAACCGCGACGTGTAACTAATACAAAAACGAGAAGGTAGAAGGTAATTTCGCAACAGAGGAAATTGACTTGCGGAGGCTGTGGTCTCGACGTCATGGTACCTTCCTGGGTGTATGGATACTTATCATAAAGTTAGTAGTGGAGGCGCGCCTTGTCTGTATGCTCTTGATGGCCAATTTGGTTAATGGATGACTACTAAACTGGGTTATTCAACAGACATCACGCAGTAGTGATGATACAAACTCATTCCGGTACACCAGCATTTTTTTGTTATTACATAAAACTGAAAGTAAAAGAGCATACCTCCAGTGAAAAAAACTGTTTTTGGTAACAAAGTAATCCAAATTACTTGTAGTACGCCGGCGGCGTTTAAAATAACTGTTTCCTGCAGGCGTCACTCTTACTTTTTCGTTCATGAATTTACTGGCTACGATCGAGCGTATTTTTATGTAGTTATTTATACAGACTAACCTTGAAAAAGGCAACTACGCATTACATAGGAAGAGTATTGATGTCGGCTTTGTCACCACCATTGGACATTTTTAAACAGGTGCATATCTTCTCGGACAATGAGGTTCTTCAAAAGTTTAGCCTTTTAACTTTAGAAATATTAAAAATTATTATGATGATGATGATATTAAAAATTATTTCTGAAGAAAGGATTAGCTGGCTTGATGGGGCCAACTAGCCCTTTCTTATAGTTCATGTCAGAAACTTGCTGGGCGTCAGAGAAGCCTGTAAATCAGAAAGTTTCGGGAGTATTTATTGCACGTGGGAAACGTGGTGTTTTTACTGAGTTTACCCTCGAATCGGCGATTCAAACGAACGTAGCGGACTGATCACTCCGGTATGTTTGCACTTCAATCTTTTTTTTTTTACATGACTAACTGAGCGGTTTTAATTGACGTCGACCGATACGTTTCTAATTGCAATAATATGTTTACTTTCGCTCCTTTTTAAATTAATAAAAAAAAACAATGACGCAATTATCCTCGACGTCATGTGCAACAATCAACTTCATGTCGGAGTCATGGTTTGTTGTTACTCAAACACTTTAGCTTCCATTTCGGAGGTATGCTAGACCAAATGGTTGCCAATAGTAATGTACTCAGAATAAATAATAAAGGAGAAATGAGTGGGTACAGGTTTTCTCATACGTACCTCAAGTGTGTCTTGAATACCTTGGCGACAGAAATCCACCGCATCCGAACAGCAGATAAGTTTGGAAGCAGGACAGGTTGTTTTAGCAGAGTGCATTAAAGTATTGAAAAAATATATGTCCGTACCAGCCAGCTACTTGGCTCAAACTATTTTAAAGCTGTACAGGACGTGGCATGAGTTTGAACATCTGGAAGCATCTACTGCACGTAGGTGCGCATTCTAGTGTAGCCACTGACATCGGTGATCCAACGTTTGTGCGCGACGCCGGCAACATCCGGAAACATGCGCTGCTCCGGTAAGCACTGGCGACAACTTCCTGCCGTTGACAGCATTCTCTGTTTTATTCCAACATCGGCTTCAAACTATCATATATTTTTATTAAGTATTGTTCGTTTCCCAAGAATATGCCAATATTTTAAATATTTTTACGTACTGCTGTACCAGTCCCAGGCGCAGGCTGGGGTTGTTTTCCGTTCGTAGCCGGTGGACATTTTTTTTTTAAGTTAGTTGAAAAATTAATAGGCTTGTGAATAGAAACAAACGTTAAAGAAATTCGTGATGAGAGCGGATGTTTATATTTGACTTGAGACTGCAGGTGGAATTACTATTAGCAAGCAGAGACAGGTTTCAAGTTATGTGACATTGAGTAGACGACATTGTCAAGATGGAACAGAGGAAACAAAGGCCGAAATAAAACAAGAACAACAGGGATACACGAAAGTGAGCCGAAAACTAGGACAAACGTGGGGACTTGCTAGTTACGTAGGCATTTTATAACATGACTTATAACCAACGTAGCAGTTCAGCCGCTCGGGTTACTCAGAAATAAGTTTTCTTAATAAAATAAAATTTTAAAGGCTCAGGTGCCCAATCAACGGAGAGCATCCAACGTGCCCCAGTAAGAGGCTGGGTAATAATTTCACCCCCTTTTGGTTTTTTCGGGGTGCGGCCAAACTAGGCAATAATGAGCCTACGTTACATAAGCCTCGATCAGGCTGAGGCAATCTTCGCCAAGATAAATAGTAGTATTATAGAAAACTAGAGTTCTCGACCATCCCCGATTCCCCGATCTTGACCGTTTCAAATGACAAGTCTTTTAAAACCTCCGACTCTTATAACAAATATAAAAGACCAAAACTAGTCCAAAAATTGTTTCCAGTAAATCTTCTTCCTTCATGTGTACTGGACGCTAACACGGAACACCATCGCTTAAAACTTCTATTATTCGAGGGACTGCGGTTGTATAATTCTGCTTTACCCCTTTTTAAAAAACTCTTTATGCCACAACTTCAAAAATTTTATTTGTTTTGTTTAGCTCCAGAAGTTCTTCATAAACTTGTAAGAAATTAAATATGATTATTTTCTTTCATGTACATCTATAGTTTGGTTAATTGCATCGACGATTGAAATACTTAATGTGAAATCAGCTTAGGGAATAAAAACAAATGCAGTTAATCCACTTGCCGAACAAACAATCATAGGGAAAGCGAGAAATATACTCAAATTTTGATAAGAATGGTTGTATATTTTGAATAAGTGTACCTTCTTCTCTAGTTCTTCCATCTATTAGTAAGATTAAAAAAAACATAATCAATTGTTATCATTATGTTGTGGATTTCATGAAGCGTTTTCTATATTATCGCATTGTTTTACCCAAAAGACGATTTAAAATACAGTGAATACAATCGTGACCTCATAAGGTGTATATACTTTGAATTCATGATGAATTATGGAGTATGTTAAAATTACTTGTTCTCAAATAGTTTAATATATCTTTAACAGGGGGTAAACCAAAACTATCAAGAAATGCAGTACACTTTGAACCATTAAAATAACAAACCCATTGAGTTCAAAGGATGTAAAATTATCATTATCACACCAAACTTTGCTTGGTGTGGTAATTTGTTTATGCAACATATTTTATGAAAATACACAACTAAATCCTGGTATCTGTTTTAATATATTAATATCTGCAGAACTTAGTGGCGACCTTATTAGTTTTTTTTACAAATTATCGTAACACCCTGGCCAGCAGCTTTCGCAGCTCCAGCCGTTGCGGCTCCTGTTAAGGCCGCCCCTTTAGCAACAATGGCAGGGCTCTGGCTGTTAAGCCTGCTAAAGCCCCAAAGATTGGACAACAAATACCTTCTTGAATCTTTTGATTTCTTACCTGTGTTGTATGTTCATAGGCCCATGTGCACAGGCGTCGCTTTCTTTAGTTTCGAAATTTTTGTGGAAGTAAGAAACAATTTAGAATTTGTGGGATAAGCCCTCGGATCAGTTCGTACTTTCCATTCATCTACTTTCTGAAATATAGTCTTAAGTTTCTTTTGTTGACCTTCTGATGAGTATACTGGGTACCAGGATAAGCATTTATATATAAAACAATATTTCGGCTAACCACATTTTACCATAAGATATTGTTACATTAATTTTTCTGTCAAACTTCTACATCATATACATTTTGTACCTTTTAGCTGGAGTACTTCGAAGTATACCATGTACCTGAATGAGAGATACGTGACCATTTTCGACTGCATTCATAGGCATATATGTAACATTGAAACAGAATATTGGATAGAGACTTGCAAAAGTTCGTTTTGTTACAACTGTCCCAGTATCTACGTCTTAAGTTTAAAATCTTGCTTCCAAAAAGGCATCGTCAATAGCAAAATTGGTTTGTTTGAAGTCGGAATGAGTTGTAAAAAACTATGAGAATTTATTTCCAGATTTATAGTTTCTAAATTTTTATTATCAAAACAGATATTGTTTCCAGTTTAAGCTTGATTCTAGAAATGCTTTGAAACATAATATAGATATATTTTGATTTATATAATATTTCTGAAAAATCTATGGTGTGTTCTACATTATCAAAGTCTATTGTTTTAGTGGTTTTAAAACTTTTCCATTTGCATAATACATTCTCATTACTCTTTAGTCGCTCGGTTAATAGGGGTCGGGTTTCTAAATTTGGTATTATCTTTTGGAATCTTCCACAGTAGCCTGCAAATAAAGCTTTGTAATTTCCTCCAGTATAGATTAATATGTCTGTGCAATTATGTTTAGCTAGAGTTAGCTTAAATGTTATTCCTTTAAATGCCTTGTCAATTCTGAAAAAAAGAAACATATTACATCTCTGACCTTAACAGACACTTCTACAATTTTCGAGTTTATGGTGATTTCATATTCCTTGCGAAATGTTTTCTTATATCATGGCTTTAACACCAGTAAAAGTTTTCTGGTCATCTACGATGACTTTGTATTTGTTTAGTTTATACGTTTAGGCCGTATCTGGATACCAGAACTCGGGCGTGGCTATAGATCTTGAAAAATAATCTGAATAGATGAATAATTTTTTATCGTTGAACTAATTTCTGGGAAAAGATTATGTTCGATACCTTTATTCATAACGGTTAATCTAATTTTTGAAAATGCATTCGCGCCAATAATATTAACAAATGAAACAATATCAACATCCTTGAGATTGGCATCATCATGTTTAACAATCTACAGTCTGCATTGAAGTATACTCTCAGAAAACCTAAAAACTTTCCTGGTGTTGGGACATGAGATTTTATAGTGTTCCTTGAATTTTTAACAATTTCAACATTATGACGTTCATCAGTTGGAATATGTATTCCTGCTTCTCTTAAGCTCTAGTAGTCCATTTATAAGATAAAAAAACTTCATGCAAGAAGGCGATTAAGAACTTTCGATTGTTTGCCCCTTCTTTTGTTTATCAGTGATCCCCCTCCCTGTAAACTTTTATATCTGTTTGTACATTATATTTTACTATTGGAAT